GATCTGCGAGGCCCAATCGATCTACAACTCCTCTGCTCCTGCTACATGGCTTTGACTTCCTCAAGAAACAACTTCTTGCTCGAGGAAATAAACTCTGTAAACAAGAAAAGTTGCACTTTCCAAGGCTTGTCAAAATTACTCATCATAGGAATGTTTCTAATAATAGCTCTTATTGTTAGCGGAAACTTGTCCATGCAACACTAAAATGTTCCCTCTCGACGTCATTTTCAACGATTTGTTTTGACGCCAGTTAGCTGACCACGGAAAGATGAAAGGTTTGGCTGACATGAGCGCGATTTGAACTTGGATTTGACCCCAGACCATGTGAATCAATAAACAAACAAATAAAATTGATGCCCATGGAAGCGAAATATTGGTAGTGAGAGGGTGGGATGGCTCAATTCAGACCATAGGTGGTGCTTTTGCGGCGGAAGGCGAGTTACACATTACTGGCGTGGCAAGGCGCCAAATGTCCCCCTTCCGGTGCTCAGACCGGCACGTGAAAGAGATGATAACGGTACTTAGTTTAAAATGGAACTAATGCCACCACTGCTCGATTCTCTTTTTAGGCCTGCTGCACCAACCAAAGAGCAGCAACAATCTGCCGATCGCTGTAGCCATGTGCCAAGTTTACCATAACTTAAGTGACCTTATTTTGGCAGTAAACTCGACCACTCGCGAAATTGACAGGCGTAAAGAAAGTGCCGTTTACCGGGTTTTTCACCGTTCCTCAATTTTTTTCCATAGAAAAACCGGTTGGAACCTCTACTTCTACATTTTTACGGTGTAAACTTATCGAGCGAGCTGCTTTCAGCTTAATATTGGTTCTTCCAAAATTCATTTAGCTTTTGTCCGGCATGTCTAGAAGAATCGAACCTCGTCGCTCTTGTCTACTGGCTCCTAAGAAACATTTAAATATTTATTAAAACAAACATGGAATGCAGTACGCTAACTCAAGACCCATAAAAAATCTCCGGATTCCATAAAAATATTAAGAATCTTCCAAAAGGCTAAAAACATCCGTTTAACATCTGAGAGCTCATTGTTAATTACAACAATGATATCAACATTGTGAACGTGGTGTGCAGCTTCCTGAACGGTTTCTGAAGAAGCCTGGATCGCACTGACATCGTGGAACACCGCATTTTTGTGAGCATTTCTGAAGGCATTAATACAAAAAGGGTTTTATTGAGTTTCATTTACCATCGGTGGTAAGTACCTGAAGTCGCTGAATAAGTAATTACTGTTATAAAATAAGGGAGAACTGAAATCTGAATGTAAGCCTTAATGAAAAAAGAGCTACTGGTAATGTTGCCCCGGGTCGCCTCTCTTGCCCCTAAGAAAATGTACTATTACTGTCACCGTGAAAACCATAGGTCCTCTCCGAGTGAATACGACAAAGTGTGAGAAGCATAAGGTGAAGAGAGAAAGTCAAGAGGAACGGGAAGCAGAGACTCCTTCTTCATAGCTAAGCAGGCACAAGAGGTAGAGAGTAGAAAGGAGAAATTACTGTGTATGTTTTCACTTTCTGCCCCCGACCCTCCGAAATTTGTGCTTCGTATTCGCAAACGAAACTAGGCAATTGAACCCTTTCTGTCCGGCGCACCACTGACATGCAAATTAATCTGAGCAACCCTCAAGAAACTCACCGGATTGCGTTGTTCGCACGTTGGTTCACAAAGTGACGAACAACTTCGCCATGACTCATTCCGAGGGCATCGAAGTGTGCTGCTTCTGCAAGACATTGCGCTTGGAGTTTGGCATCAACTTGGACCACTAGGCACACGGTTCCCGCCGACCCACTCTCACATTCGAACAGGCACCATTTGCGTACTAAGCACGAACCAGAGAAACGCTTCTACAAAAGGACTTTTTAGGAAAAACAGCGCGAAACACACCCCCAAATGCGCCCGATGCACATGCCATGGGCCATACACTTCGAATGATAATTGGTCTAGGAATTCCCAGAATCAACATATTTTACCCTCATGACACTCGTCCAAAGGCTTACATACATTTTCCGATGAAAACGGTACTGAAAAGATCAAGGCGGTTCCACTATTAGTAAGTGTAACAAGTACAACCTACAACAATTAATGGGCGAGACTGAAAGCGACAAATCAACCTAGAAATTACTTTTAAATAACGTTGAAAGCCGTTTCAAAAAGGAGAGAGAGCGATGGAGAGACAAGAGAGCACGGAGGAAAAAGGGAAAAAGAAAGGGTCATAGGCAAGAGATGAAGGGAAAGATGGCAAGCGATTGAGGCAAAACATAAACGCGCTAACTATACGCCGGGAACCTCATCTTCCCCAAAAAAGTACGAGTGCTAGGCCCCAGATTATCCAGTTTCTAAGATGAAAGACCAACAGTGAACACGTGCTCAAAGGAGGAGCGGTTTGAGACGTCATTGCCTCATCAGTGAACCAAACCTCCTGAGGCCCTGTGTGGGACAACTTCCAATGTCTTTATCAAATACGCCCCCGATGATAACGCCACCCAACTCGCACCAGCCTCCAAGGCCTCGGGTTCATCCTGCACTTTGATCTAGGCTACATCCATGCCTACTAGAGTTGTGAAGACTGAAACATACCCAGTTATAATCGCATCGATGTGTTGCCTCTCCCGCTCCCCTCCCAAACTAGTTCATATGAAAAATATCTCAGTAACTGTCCCGTGTTGTCAAAAATCGAGAAAAAGTATTCTATTTGCGAAGGGCGGTAAAATCAACGCATACAGGAAATATTATGAATAAAACTCACCAGTAAAACCACATTGTGGAGTACCATCGACTATGTGACAGCTACTGCCAACTGGACACACCACGCCAGAGCAAGTCGCATTTGGCGGTCTCCTTGGGGAAGGTGTAGATTGCGCAGAATTTCTGTTGATAGGTGAAGAAACAGTGGTCAGTCGGGCAGGCGATGATGCCTGTTTCGCTGCTGTAACGATCACAGAATTTTCAGAGCAAATGCTCAAAAACTACACTAAGGGCACTTCGCACGGTCGAATTGGGTGGTTATTTCACTCGAAACTCTAAAATGAGGTTGGAAGAGGACCGCTAGTGGAAAAGGTTAGGGTCCTTTTTCTAGCCGTGGAAAGACATTAGTTTCTAGGTGGAGAGGTAAGCAAAACGTAAACCAGTCTTTTGGCGTTTCTGCTGGGGCCGTATGCTGAATGTTGGGGAGGGGATGGGGTCCCGGTCGACGGACTACTTCAACTCGGTCGGTACGGTAGGAGAGTAATGACGCAAGTGGTGCAGCTGGTCCAGCAGCTCCGCCAAAGGGCTGGTTTGCTTACCCCAGGACTAAGCCTTGGAGAGGGGACTGCGCTCTCTCGCAGGTCCGTCCTCTCTTTAAGGCTTAGTCCTGAGGTAAGCATCAAATTGAGGCGGTTTTAAGGACCGAGTTGAAGTAGTCCGTCGACCGTCGGGGACCCCATCCCCTCCCCAACATTCAGCATACGGCCCCAGCAGAAACGCCAAAAGGGCTGGTTTGCTTACTTCCTGGGCGGGACACCGAATGCTAGGTGGACCCCCGTGGGTCAGCCTTAGCGGCTCTACCTAAGCCGGTACATCCTATGTGCTTGAGGACTGCTCCAGCCTTTTAGGGCTGAGCTTCACTTCAGTGACCTAACCGTGGGTGTGCTTTTAACATAGCCCTACCCTTTCGTGACCTCTCTTCTGACACATTTCTCCATAAAAGCGACTGCTCAGTAGATTTACCCAGGCTGCTCAAAATTGAATAATGTTTGATTTTTACAGCTTGGTAAATTTAACACGTTGACGACAACGCGAGTTTTGGCTTTTTTGGCCACGTGGGACCGCGGCGATTTTGCGGGCGCGCTCGCCTCAGGTCGTTCAAGCAGATTTTGAGTGATAAATACATAAATAATGATCAAT